CCATAAGAATGTCAACTCAAGCTAGCTATAACTGTCTTAAAAATGTCAATTAAAGCTAGCTATAACTGTCTTAAGAATTTCATATTAGGCTATAGCCATAACTGTCTTAAAAACTTCCTTAAGAATGTCACATTAAGCAAGCTATAACTGTTAAGAATTTCAATTAAAGCTAGTTAAAACTGTCTTAAGAATGTCAATTAAAGCTAGCTATACAGTTAACTGTCTTAAGAATTTCAACAAGCTAGCTATAAATATCTTAAGAATTTTATATTAGCTATAACTGTCTAAAAAACTTCCTAAAAAATGTCAACTTAAGTATGTTAATATAACTGTCTTTTTTAACAAGGTAGCTATAAATTTCTTGTATTAGGCTACTGTCCTAAAAACTTCCTTAAGAATGTCAACTAGCTATAACTGTCTTAAGAATTTCATATTAGGCTAGCTATATTGTCTTAAAAACTTTTCTTAAGAATGTCAACTAGCTATAACTGTCTTAAGAATGTCAATTAAAGCTATCTAAAACTGTCTTAAGAATGTCATCTTAAGCTCTTAAAAATGTCAATTAAAGATAGCTAAAACTGTCAAGAATTTTATATTAGGCTAGCTATAACTGTCTTAAAAACTTTCCTTAAGAATATCAACTAGCTATAACAGTCTTAAGAATATCAATTTAAGCTACAAGCTATATCTTTAGAATTTCAACAAACTAGCTATAAATGTCTTAAGAATTTCATATTAGGCTAGCTATAACTGTCTTAAAACTTCCTTAAGAATGTCAACTAGCTATAACTGTCTTAAGAATGTCAAGTTGTTAGCTATAAAATGTCAACTACATTTAACGTACTGTTTTAGGAATTTGGTGCTGCAGATGACAATTCAGCCCACTTCATGTCAATAATAAAAAAGAACAACCCCTTACTGGAGCATATAAGAACACAGCAAAATATGGAGCCCACAGTCTTGCATTTAATAGAATTCATAAATACCGTTTTAGGTTTATTTCAAGATAGATTATCCTTCACTGGCGTCGAAGCTATAGAAATCAATCAAAAACTGCGTGCGGCATACCACAGGAACAAGTTTTACAAGGAGAGGATTGAGTTTTTTACGAAGCAACAGCAAACGCTTGAAGAGGAATTGGGAGGCGTTTTGAGTCAGCAAACGGCGATTCTGGATGGTTGTAAAGTCGAGATTGAAGCTGCGCAAAAGGCGAACAAAAAGTTGATGGAGGAGAAAATGAAGCAAACTTTGAAAATAATGAGCGATCAGACTCAAATCAGCGAAGAAAAGCAGGAGTTTTTGCTGGAAGAATTCGAAACAATCAAGAGCGAATACGACAACCTTCTAATTACCCATATAGAGATAGAGAAGAAACTGCGTGCCAAACGATCGAAAGCTGAGGCTCAGCTGCACTCGTGGATAACGAAGTACGACACCGATATCGGGGACAAACAGGCGGAGTTTGAGAAACTTACGGAACAATACGAAGAGCTGGACAAAATCTACGTCAAACTTGAGGAAGACACCGTCGAACAAGAACCGATATACGAGCAGTGCGTTGAAGAAAAGGAGGCAGAACAAGAGGAAGTGCACAACCAATGCTCCATAGTGTTTCTTCTCAATAGATCCGCCAGAAGGATTCAGAGATACTGGAGGTTGTACCACTTGAAAGTCAGCAAACGAAGAAAAAAAGCTTAGTGTAAAATGTAGTAAAGACAATAAAATATCGATCAAACATCCGCTGTTTCAATAGAAATAGAGCGTAAAGCCGAACTGTACTGGTCATACAAAAATAGTCAACCTTCTAATAACTGTCTTAGGATATAAACAAGGACTTAACTGTCCTAAAAATGTCAACCCAAGCTATATGTAACCATTTTAAGAATGTCAATTTAAGCTACAATATAACAGTCTTAAGAATTTCAACAAGCTAGCTATTAATTTCTTAAGATTTTTATTAGGCTAGCTCTAATTGTCCTAAAAACTTACTTATGAATGTGAACTTAAGCTAGCTATATATAAAACACTCTTAAAAATGTAAATTAAAGCTAGCTAAAACTGTCTTAAGAATGTCATTTTAAGCTAGCTAAAACTGTCTTAAGAATGTCATATTAAGCTAGCTATAACTGTCTTAAAAACTTCCTTAAAAATTCCAACTTAAGCTAGCTAAAACTGTCTTAATAATGTCATTTAAAGCTAGCTACAACTGTCTTAAAAACTTCCTTAAGAATGTCAACTTAAGCTAGCTATAACTGTCTTAAGAATGTTAATTTAAGCTACAATATAACAGTGTTTCGAATTTCAACAAGCTAGTATAAATTTCTTAAGATTTTTATTAGGTTAGCTAAAAGTCTCCTAAATACTTCCTTATGAATTTCAACTTAAGCTAGCTATATTACTTCAAAATGTCAATTAAAGCTAGCTAAAACTGCCTTAAGATTGCCATTTTAAGCTAGCTATAACTGTCTTAAAAACTTTCTTAAAAATGCCAACTTAAGCTAGCTAAAACTATCTTAATAATGTCATTTAAAGCTAGCTACAACTGTCTTAAAAACTTCCTTAAGAATGTCAACTTAAGCTACCTATAACTGTCTTAAAAATGTCAATTAAAGTTAGCTAAAACTGTCTTAAGAATGTTATTTTAATCTAGCTATAACTGTCTTAATAACTTCCTTAAGAATGCCAACTTAAGCTAGCTATAACTGTCTTAAGAATGTCAATTAAAGCTAGCTAAGACTGTTTTAAGAATGTCATTTTAAGCTAGCTACAACTGTCTTAAAAACTTCCTTAAGAATGTCAACTTAAGCTAGCTATAACTGTCTTAAAAATGTCAATTAAAGCTAGCTAAAACTGTCTTAAAAATGTAATTTAAGCTAGCTATAACTGTCTTAAAACCTTTCTTAAATATGCCAACTTAAGCTAGCTAAAACTGTCTTAAGAATGTAATTTAAAGCTAGCTACAACTGTCTTAAAAACTTCCTTAAGAATGTCAACTTAAGCTATCTATAACTGCCTTAAGAATATTAATTAACATTAATGTTAATTTAAGCTACAATATACTGTCTTAAGAATTTTAACAAGCTAGCTATAAATGTCAAAAAAGCTTAGTGTACAATGTAAACTATAGTAAAGACAACAAAATATCGATCAAACATCCGTTGTATCAATCGACATGGAGCGTGAAGCCGAACTCCAAAAAGAACGCCTAAACAATATTTTTAAAGAGTTAATAAATGATCTTGAAGTAACCGTGAGTATTTTGTGTTAGCTCCATTACAGTTATCAACATTGTTTTTTATTGAAGAGTAAAATCCCGTATGTCCTTCAAGATGAAAACCTTCAACTTTTGAAGAACATTTTGAGTTCTGAAGACTACAAGCTATGTTCCAAAGTTTCCAAGTGTATTTTGAATAATACAGATATACAGGTAATATTATACATAAAATACAACAGAAAATCAACGCTTATTTCCAGGACATAGAAGCAGCTAAATTCTTACTGATCTTCAAAGAAAACGGAAAAGTGAAAGACCACGTCACCAACCTAGTTTGTCCAAAAGAAGACTCAATATGCGAAATTATAGATTTGCTACAGAAAATATTCTCTGACAGACTAAAACTAACAGATCTCGAGGCTCAAAAACTTGAAGAGGATTTCGCCAAGGCCTCTGAAATGTCGGATAAATACCTCAAGAATATAGAAAAGCTCGAGAAAATCTTGGAAAAAGAGAATGAAGTGTTTGAGAGAACTCTTAAAGAGCAAACTCTAAAAGAAGAGGAGTATGACTTGAAAATCAAGACTCTACAAGATAATTTTGATATGGATGTAAAAAAATTGTTGTATGCATCAAAGAAAGAGTTGGAGGAAAGCACAAAAAGGTACGATGAAGAGGCAGAAGATTTGCAGAAGCAATGCAAATCACTGGAGAGGGAATACGAAAAAATTCGGTCTCTTCATATGAGGGAAGAAAAAGAACTAAGAAAGACCAAGGATAAATTGGAGAAGGATGTTGAAAAAACCATTGAAAGGTTTGATTTTGAGGTTGGAAGTGCCCAAAAGAAATACGAAGATCTTACGGAAGAGTAACAAGAAACCAAAAATTGAAAACAAATAATAATCTTGTTTTTTAGGTTCAACTTTGAAACAAAGGAGTTGGAAGATTTGCGTATGAAACTGGATGAACAAAAAATAGAATATGACGCGTTGATGTTTGGAAAAAGAGTTGGAGGAAGAAGAGTACAGGAGAGAGTTGGGAGCACAGTTTTTGCTGACTTATATGGCCCGTAAAATACAGATACACTGGAGGGAATATGTTGCTAGAAAATCGTTGAAGAAAAAAAAGAAAGGGAAAGTAAAGAGTTCGGGGGATAAAAAGTCAGCATAGAGTGTAAAAATTTATTGGTACATTACTTATCTTTTTTTCTTAATGTGGCAGATCTAACTTCCAAAACAATGGGTTTTTCTTTAGTACTGGGCGATGAAGGAGTGGGCTCTTCTGACCCTATCGCTTTCCCGAAATTGCGGTGTTACTTGAAGCAATTTAGCTTCTAGTAGCTCTTTTTTATCTTCACTACGCCTTGCTTTCTCTGTAGCCAGCTTCAGTTGCTCATCCAACGCTTCACGTTCCTTTTCCAGCTGAATTAGACGTGACTTTGCACTCATTAGCTCTTTTTCCTTGTAAATTTGAAGCTCCTCGTACTCCTTTCGCTTCCCCCTTTCCTCTCCAGCAGCTGCTTCTGCTCCTCCTGCAATCTCTCCAACTCCTCTCTTTTCTCCACTCTCGGCCAAAACTCGCGCTTGCAACGCCCTGACGATCTCCTCGTCGCGCTTTGCTTGCGTTTCCTCCTCCAAAAGCTTCTCCAGCTTCCCTTAAACCTGCTCCAACTCGCTCAGCTTCATAGTGCGGGCGGACGTTATGAAGCTGAGCGAGTTGGAGCAGGTTAAGGGGAAGCTGGAGAACTTTTGGAGGAGGGAAAACGCAAGCAAGCGCGACGAGGAGATCGTCAGGGCGTTGCTGGCGGCGTTTCGCAGCTAGCTGCCGCTGGTAGCTGAGCGGGTTGCCGCTGTGGTCCGCCGCGATTGTAAGGGAGGATATCCACTGTAAGCGAGTCATGTGATCGGATGTTCCTAGCTCGTAGATGCGATCCGATGTTTGGAGGGTTATTTTGAAGCCTGCTTTAGCTGCGAGTTTGCTGTTTGGTTCTATTGGTAGTACGCCGCATTTTTCCTTTTTCTGAACGCGCTTTGTAGTAGGTGAGTTCCGTGGGTGTTAGAACGAACCAGTATTCGCGCATTGTCGGGAATATGTACCCTTTTTTGGTCATGAAGCCTTTCTTTATGACATCCTCGACGATGGTTTGGTACAAGTCTGTTACGGCCTCGTTTATAGCAACGTGGTCTTTGACGCCGTTGAGGCAGCGCGACTCCAAGACGGCTATGAAAGGCGTCAGCCTAAAACTGCCCATGGACACACTCAAACTTGTGAAGTCGTCGTCATCGAACGTGCAACCTAAGGAGTTAGCTAAGGTTTGCGCGATCTGGAATACCTCGCTGGGGTGGAGTAGAACCTGGTAAAAATTCTCGTTGTGCGTGTCGGCTGCCAGCTCGGCTAGCACGCAGAAAATTCGGAATATCTTGAAGATACCGTCGTCGCTGAAAATGCCGTTCTTGCGGCACAAGTATTTTTTTCTGCACACCAGCCAGCAAACCTCGGCTATTTTGTTTTCGTATCGCTGCAGTTCCGAAGGCGGTGCCTTGTTCGGGAGCGAAGCAAACACCTCATTTTGCAGGTAATACTTAAACTGATTGAAGTTTAACGTTTGGGTGCTTCTGAAGTGTTCCAAGCCCTTTTCAACCCCGTACAAGTCCAGTAATGTACCTATATTGGCTGTCAAAACCTAAAACCAAATTTAAAAATTTAATTAAAAGATTTATTCATTTTTAATACAAATTATATGTCGAATCTACAGCGATTTCTTGATTTTGAAATAGTTGGGCGCCAATTTGTCAATTTTGAAACCTAAATTTTATTAAACGCCATTTTGAAGAGCCCAATTTTTTTATATAAGTACCCTTAAAAAATCATTAATTTTAGCGATTTTTTGGTTTTTGAAAAAGGGGGGGCGCCAATTTGTCAATTTTGTAACTCGCAGATCTTAAAAATTATTAAATTATAGATATTGAGATACCCTAAAAAGTAGTTTTGAGAAAGTCACTTTTGTAACTCGAAAATATTAAAAAATTATTAAATTTCATTAACGCCATTTTGAAAAGCGCATTTTTATTAATATACATGAAAAATGTCGATAATGATAATGTCGAAAATGCAGGAGTTACAGACTTTTTCTTATTTTAAAAAAGTGGGCGCCCATTTGTCAATTTAGCAACTTCTTTATTATTGTATCGATTTTAATAAAATTTCTAGGGTATACTGAACAAATTGGGCCTATTACGATTGAATAATAATATTTCTGACTTATGCGGTTTTAACGGAATTGACAATTAATTGAATAAAAAGTAATAAAAGTCCTTGATATATTAAAAACAACAGAACTGATATATTAAAAACAACAGAACTGATGTGTCTATAAATGTTTTTGAGAAAGTCACTTTTGTAACTCGAAAATATAAAAAAAATTATTAAATTTCATTAACGCCATTTTGAAAAGCGCATTTTTATTAATATACATTAAAAATGTCGATATTTTTTGATACAAAATACAGGAGTTACAGACTTATTCTTATTTTAAAAAAGTGGGCGCCAATTTGTCAATTTAGCAACTTCTTTATTAATGTAGCGATTTTAATGAAATTTGTAGGGTATACTGAATAAATTGGGCCTATTACGATGGAATAATAATATTTCTGACTTATGCGGTTTTAACGGAAATGACAATTAATTGAATAAAAATTAATAAAAAATAAAAGTCCTTGACATATTAAAAACAACAGAACTGATGTGTTACCTGTATAAAAACACTTTTACAAATTACCTTGCGGGCCATATTAGGAAAATCAAAAACATCTGTTAACAAAATCGCGAAAAAATATTTAAAAAACTAATTTTATAAAAAAGTGTAAACGTCTTACCTTTAGTTTACTTTTGTTGACAAAGCCGGGGGTTTCCTGGTGCAGAGCCGCAAACGCCAGCCATACACAATTTGTTATGTTCTCGAGCAAAACTGCCATTTCTTATAACTCGAGAAAACGCGAAAGGAATTCCATCTGTAAACGCGTGAGTCACGTAAGTGGTGGTCGAGGAGGTCGAATAAATACGAGCACCTGTTTGGTAAACAGCTGATTAAACGAAAAAAATAAAACAGAATGGATTAATTGGTGTTAACGTGAATTAAAACGTAGGGAAGTGAGAGAACAGTGAATATTAGTCATTATTTAGGCCGGCACATCAAATTTGTATCACAAAAGACACGGTTTATATGCAAACAATTCTCTAAGAATATCATCAAAATATTGTGATTTACAAGAATATTTTTACCATATCAGAAATGTTTCCAAATAATTGAGAATTTCATCAAAATATTAGAAATATTAACAAAATTTACAAGAAAATTATCAAGAAAATTATCAAAACATTGTAATCTACAAGAATATTATAACAATTTCAGACATTTATCTAAATAATTGAGAATGTAAGGTTAGGTATAAGGAATATTATTAAAATCGAGAATATTATCAAAATTAAAAAAAATATTATGTGCGTTTTATAAATATTTATAAATTATAAGAAATGTTAACGTTTTATAGGAATATTATCAAATTTAACAAGGATTTCATCAAAATATTGTTATTTGCAGGAATATTATCAACATTTAGGCAATATTCATAAATATTAAAGAATGTTAAAGTTTTAAGATAAATTATCAAAATCGCCAAGAATATTATCAAATCTAATAAGAATATTATCAGAAATGTAACGATTTTATAGGAATAATATCAGGTTTAACAAGAATTTTATCAAAAATATTAAAGTTTAAAGGAATATTATTAAAATTAACAAGAATATCATCAAAATATTATGATTATAATAGAATATTCTCTATATAATTAAGAATACATATTAATAATGAATATTTTTAAAATTAACAAGAATTCTATTAACTAATAAATATTGAGAAATCTAATGGCTTTTTATTATAATGTTTAACAATTTATTTCAAATAATTGAGAATGTAAAGATTACAAGAAATAAAATCGATATCAACAAGAATATTATCAAAGTTAACAAGAATATTGTCAAAGTTAACAAGAATATTATCTACGTTCGAAAATATTCATAAATAATGAGAAATGTAAGGGTTTTATGGAAATATTATCAAGTTTAATGGGAATTTTGTCAAAATATTTGTTTAAAGGAATATTAACAAAATTAACAAGAATAGCATCAAAATATTGTGATCTACAAAAATATTATAACAATTTCTAAATAATTGAGAATGTAAGGGTTATAAGGAATAAGGAATCAAGAAAATTATTATCTAAATTATCAAAAATAGTATGTGCCTTTTATAAATATTCATAATTAATAAGAAATGTAAAGGTTTTATAGGAATATTATCAAATTTAACAAGATTTAAGAGAACAGTGAATATTAGATATTATATGCCAAAATCTCTGTATTTAAAAAAAATTTATTGCCAAAGTTTTAAAATTTAAAATGTTTTAAAATCAAATATTGTAAGTTACAAAATTGACAAATTGGCGCCCAACTTTTTAAAAACAAAAAATCGCTATAACTCCCGCATTTTTATAAAAAATTAATCACATTTTTAGGTTACATAAATAAATTGGGCTCTTTAAAATGTCGTTAAAAAAGCTTAGTAATTTTTAAATATTTACAAAATTGACGTTTAAAAAACATTAAAAATCAACAATTTTTTAGGGTATCCCAAGGAAAAATATTCTCTTTAAAATGGCGTTAATAAGTTACAAAATTTACAAATTGGCACCCAACTTTTTTAAACACAAAAAACCGCCTTAACTGCCGCATTTTCATCAAATATTAATGATATTTTTAGGAAATGTAGTTAGAGTTACAAATTTGACAACTTGGCGCCCAAGTTTTTTAAAAACAAAAAATCGAGTTTATTAAAAATCCTTTGAAATAAATTATGCTGCATTCAAATCCGCGTAATCTTTATCAAATTGCTAAATGAGTCATGAAGGGATTACGTTGAATTTTATCTTATGTTGTTCTAGGGATTTAATAAATAAAACATTTTTGTTATTAATAAATATATTTATTGTTTTTATGTATGTAAATAAAGTCAGTCTAAAATTCTATTCTATTAAAAAAAGTTATGAAATATTCATTAGAGGCTTATTAAACACCTTACTCTTCATAAGTTTTTTGATTAATTCACTTTTGCTGGATTTTTTAACGTTATTAATACTTTTCAGAGGCATTATTCGAACTTGATCCAAATTCCTGTAAAACTTCAACACGTCCGGGTTGGCCCAAACCTGCCCGGGCCTGAAATCGAGAACCCGCAAGGTCTCCAAACTCTGCGCCCTGCTCAGGGCCACGTAGGCCTGCCCGGCCTCGAAGACCCTGGACAGCGACATCTCCACGCAATCCAAGGTCAAACCCTGCGACTTGTGAATCGAGAAGGCCCAGGCCAGCTTGAGCGGCACCTGCCTGCGCGTCACGGTACCCCCGTGCGCGGTTTTCACCGCCCACTTCTCGTGCTGCGCGACGTACTCGCGCCTATTGCGCAGCAACACCACCGGAAGCCCGTTCTTGAATTCCTTCACCACTCCCCGCGCGCCGTTCACCAGCCCCATGCCCACGTTGATGTTCTTCAACAGCATCACCTGCGCCCCCACCTAGAGATGTAAAAAACGGTTTTTTTCAGATGTGAAAAAAAACATGAAAAAAACGGTTTTTTTTGTTTTTTTTTTCAAAATGAAATTTTAAGTAAAATGTATATTAATAATAAAGTATGTAGAATATACAGACTGTATAGAATCAAGTAAGTAAGGCTGGAGACAAGGATGACAAATTATATTCTGATCAGAGAAAAAGAAACAAACGTTAATTGGGCGTGGTTTAAACCAAGCCATTCGTAATTACGAACCATAGTTGCCAGGTTGTTTTAAATCAGAAGAGAACGATTATAATTATTTAATAAATAGTTCAATTTTATTTGTTTGAAACTTTAAAAATAACAAAAAAATTAATAATATGTTTGATTTAGTTAATTTTCTTACTTTTAATATTAAAAAATATGAAAAAAACAACCGTTTTAGGAAACAATAATAGCATATGGCAACAGCGCGGCATGCAGTTTGATCTACTGTGTTTGTTCAGTAGTTCCGACGCTGTCGTAGGGAAATGTGTATAGTTTTTAAGAAATACATTTTCGCCATTAACTGGAATTTAAACAATACTTAGTTTTTATTTGCAGAAATGCATTAAAACAAAAAAAACGAATTCGATAAAAATAAAACCTATAAATTCTCATACAAAAATAATTCTAAAATTCAATCTCTACCACAGTGGGCGGGGTTTGGCACTTGTTTTATTTAAGTGTATCTATTCGTTTTAATACACACTGTATTACATTTTTCATTGAAAATTTTGACCGAGACTAAAAAAACTGATTTCTTATTATTTGGTAGTTTCCACATTAGAAACCAATAGCAATGTAAAACTTCTATACTAATACAAAAAATTAAAGGATAAAAAAATGTTTTGCGATTCTTGAGATCTTTGTTGAAAATGGTCGTAAAAAAAGCAATTTGAAGCTTGAAGTTTCTAGTTTTGAGATTTTTAGATGAAAAACGTCCTAACGAATACCATAATAAAAAAATCGAATTTTTTTTGGCTTTCTGGTCCACGGAATGTTCCGAATTAACCACCAATGAATACATGTTTTACAAGAATTTGCTGTTGTTTAAAAAAAAATCCATACTCTACATGAATTTGGAAAATCATGACTGTATTTACATTTACTAATTGTCATTTAGCGGCTAATTTTAGTCCATGAACTGGACTGGAAACAAAAAATTAGGCAAATGGGACTAATCTTGAAAAAAACCTAAAATGTGAAAAAAACCATTCGAAAAAAACAATGAAAAAAAACCTGAAAAAAAAACAAAAAAAACGGGCCCCCACCTTCAACTCCAACCTGGACGGCACCGTCGTCTGCTGATCTATCGTTCTCTGCGACCCGGCAACGCTGTCTTGCGCCTCGTACACCTTGGCGGCGCCCTCTAGCGCCGCCAGCTTGGACTCGTTGATCAGGTCGGCGTCTTTGGTGTGCGAGCAGAGGCGCGTCGCCAAAATGCCGTCCTTCTCGATCTTTTGATTGGCCGTGGCGCATAGAACGTCGGTGACCGTTTTGTCGGCGTTGCCGGTTCTGATGCTGTTGAGGATCGCGATGAACTTGGAGTCTGTTTGGCGGTGCACGCGTTTTAGCTCGTGCGCGGCCAGGTGGCACTCCTCCCACGCCTTGGTTTGGAAGCAGAACCGCGGGGACACTTTGGTACCTTGCCAAAAAATACGGAATATTGTCAAAACCAACGAGAATATCATCAACCTTACAGAAATATTTCAGGAATGTTATTAAAAGCAATAAGAATATTATCAGTGTTTCATAAATATTCCTAAATAATTTGAAATGTTTAGGTTTTAAGGTTTGTGATCTACAAGAATATTATTACCATATCAAAAATGTTTTCAAATAGAGAAATTAAAGTTTTATAGAAATACTAACAAAATTATCAAAATATTGTGATCTACAAGAATATTTAAACAATTTTAAACAGCTATGTAAATAATTGAGAATGTAATGGTTATAAGGAATATTATCAAAATCAAGAATATTATCAAAATTAACAAAAATATTATATGGTTTTTATAAATATTTATAAATAATAAGAAATGTAAAGGTTTTATAGGAATATTATCAACATTTAAGAAATATTTATAAATAATAAAAAATGGTAAAGTTTTAAGGAAAATTATTAAAATTGTCAAGAATATATTATCCAAACTATTGAGAATATAATCAAAAATGTAAAGATTTTATAGGAATATTATCAGGTTTAACAAGAATTTCATAAAAATATTAGTTTAAAGAAATATTAATAAAATTTAGAAGAAATTTATCAAAATATTGTGATCTACAAGAATATTATAACAATTTAGGACATTTTTCTAAATAATTGGGAGTGGAAGGTATATTATCAAAATCAAGAATATTATCAAAATTAACAAAAATATTATGTGCTTTTTATAAATAATAATAAATGTAAAGGTTTCATAGAAATATCATCAAATTTAACAAGAATTGCATAAAAATATTATTATTTGCAAGAATATTATCATTTAAACATTTAAAAAAAATTGATAAATAATAGAGAATTAAGGGAAAATTATCAAAATCGTCAAGAATATTATCAAAACTATTGAGAATATTATCAGAAATGTAAAGATGTTAAAGCAATATTATTAAAATTTACAAGAATATCATCAAAATATTGTGATTGAATAGAATATATTCTAAATAATTAGAATATTTATAAATAATGAGAAATATTTATAAATAATGAGAAATGTAAAGGTTTTATGGAAATAGTATCAAGTTTAACGAGAATTTCGTCAAAATATTTGTTTAAAGCAAAATTACCAAGAATATCATCAAAATGTTGTGATCTACAGGAAAATTATAAAAAATTCAAACATTATTAAATTAAATATATTAAAGAAATATTATCAAAATCAAGAAGAATATTATCAAAATTAACAAACATAAGTGCGTTTTATAAATATTCACAATAAATAAAAAATGTAAAGGTTTTATAGGAATATTATCAAATTTAACAAGAATTTTGTCAAAATAATATGATTTGCAGGAATATTATCAACATTTAAGAAATATTTATAAATTATAAAGAATGTCAAAGTTTTAAGAAATATTATTAAAATCGTCAAGAATATCAAAACTAATGAGAATAGTATTGGAAATGTAAAGATTTTATAGGAATAGTATCAGTTTTCACAAGAATTTCATCAAAACATTAAGGTTTAAAGGAATATTATTAAAATTAACAAGAATATCATCAACATATTCTGATTGAATAGAATATATTCTAAATAATTAGGAATGAAAATTAATAATGAATATTCTTAAAATTAACAAGAATACTATATGTTACAGAAATATTCATAAATATTGAAAAATGTAAAGGTTTTATGGAAATCTTATCAAGTTTAACGAGAATTTCGCCAAAATATTTGTTTAAAAGAATATTAACAAAATTACCAAAAACATCATCAAAATATTGTGATCTACAAGAATATTATAACAATTTCAGACATGTTTATAAATAATTGAGAATGTAAGGGTTATATTATCAAAATCAAGAAGAATATAATCAAAAATAAACAAAAATATTATGTGCGTTTTATAAATATTCCTAATTGATATGAAATGTAAAGGGTTTATAGGAATATTATCAAATTTAACAAAAATATTAAAATAATCTGATTAAAAAAAATTTCTTAATAATTGAGAATGTTGAAAGTTATAAGGAATATTATTTAAATAAGAGTATTATCAAAATCGTCAAGAATATTATCAAAATTAATGAGAATATTAGGTATTTCGTTTTATAAATTTTGATAAATAATGAAAAACGTGAAGGTTATGTTTTTTAAAGAAATATCATTAAAATTTACAAGAATATTAATCAAAATTATCAAGAATAATAAAGTTTTAAGGAATATGTATTATCAAAAATATCAAGAGTATAAACGTTTTAAAAATATTTATAAATAATAAAAAATATTAAGGTTTACCAACATTTAAAAAATAATTGTAAAATATTATCAAAATTAAGAATGTTCCAAAGAAGAATATTTTCAAAGTTAAAGAATATCACCAAAACCACAGAATATTATCAAAAATTGGACTTACCAGGTGCAGATTTTGTAACAGGAGGCAATTGGAAGAAATCCCCACACAATATTAACTGTATACCTCCAAAAGGCTTGTCATTTTTCCTCACATGCCTAGCAACAGCTTCAATCTTCTCAAAATAACCCCCATCAACCATGGAAATCTCGTCAATAATCAAATGCTTGCATCTGCGCCACAAAGTAACGGCAGGCGGTTTGGAGGCCAATTCTTTGCACCTTTCAAGGCCATAATCGCCTCCCCCAATGCCAGCAAATTGGTGCAGAGTTATACCGCCTATATGACAGGCAGCTACGCCTATAACAATAAAAAACAACAAAATATTATCAGATTTTGGGTATATTGACGGAAAAAATTACCTGTGGAAGCAGTAGCAGTGGTGACATCTGGAGGCAGGGCCCCTATGATTTTCCTCAGCAAAAAACTCTTCCCCGTACCAGCGCTACCAGTGAAAAAAACATTCTGCCCACTGGAACAGGCGTCTAAAACTTCCTTTTGTTCGATATCCAACAACTCTTTCTCTGTCGGACTTGGGGCATATAATTTCTTAGCCGCTGGCCCTCTCGAGCCCTCCTTAAGAGCTAACTTCCGTTTTCTAGCCAACGGAGACGGGGTAGTGTCTGTACTTTTCGAAGCTTTGGCTTTAGCAATGTCAACTTCCAGATTCGTGACGGGGCTTATTTCAGTGAATTGGTTTGGTTTGTTTGAGAGCAGTTGCGTTCTTAGAGATGTATTGGGGTTTTCTGCTTTGGAACCAGTCATTTTAACGAATATAATTCGCAGGAAACCCATTAATTGTGATGTTGGTGCGTTTGATATATAAATCGTACAATTAATGTTTTGGAACTTAATACTGGCTTTCCCCTCATTCATAAACTTCTTATGCACGGATATACCTTTTAATTCCAGCCGTACAGGGGCCGATTTAGCCGCAGTCACCTCAACAAACATACCCTTTGCATCATTTCTAATTAACCTTAAAGTTGCAGCTTTATGCTGCAACTTTCGCTGTATTGTACCCATTTTATCCAACCATTCGATGTTTACCGAACACGTTATTACACTTCCGTCCATTTTTTACCCGAATTTACGCTGAAAACGCGTAAATAAACCGATTTGACTAGAATACACAACGTAACCACAAAGATGCTATTTCGAAAGACGTACCAACTTAACGACACGAAATTTTATACTTAATAACTTCGTAAATAACGTTTTAAGAAATTATACCTGCACATAAATGGAAAGTTTATTACCTAATAATTAATTTAATCTCCAATTATCCAAAATTTACCTCCTAATTATGGACAAATCTTAAAAACAATTTTATAATTAAATTTCCTTAGGTTGGCAACTCTACAATCTAGGTTCATTTGAACTACTGTATCAAGTTTTCCCCGCTTTATGCTAACACCAACTTAACGTCACGAAAAATCTCATACCTATATTTTGTCTAAATGAACTCCATGGCCACATAAATAAAAGTTAAATTGAATAATAATTACTTCAAATCTCTAATTAGGCATAATTTACTGTTTTTTAATAAAATATAATTGAAACAATTACTCACTTTAGTTTCCTTACGCTGGCAGCCATGTCAAAAAGTGAAATTTGAACTACTTCAACGATTACCGACGCTTTTTCAGGTTATGTGTTGTTTGTAAACGTCAATTTACGTATAATTCGTCAAAAATGGTAATAGAAGGTAAAAGGAGGGCGGATGACCAGGCCTTGGTGCCGGTCACGAAAAAATCCCGCAATGAAGTTGCCGTCAGCAATAAAAATAAGTCCGTATTGCAAGCTGTGAGTAAAAATTAAAAAATTTGGTTATGTTTATGTAAATTTGATGGTTTTAGGCCCCAGCTAGGACTTCCAACCTATTCGCGCCCATTATGCAGTTGGAGGGTCACGAGGGGGAGGTTTTTACGGTGAAATTTCACCCTGAGGGTCAATATTTAGCTTCCAGTGGGTTCGATAGAAAAATATGTAGGTTTTGTATTTTTTGCTACTTTTGGGGGTTATATGGGTGATGTTTTAGTTTTATGGAGCGTTTACGGCGAGTGTGAGAATATTTCCGTTATGACTGGGCACACGGGAGCTGTGATGGAGATGCACTTTACCCCAGATGGTAGTAATATATTTACTGCCAGTACTGATTATACTTTGGGGTTATGGGATATTGTAACGAGTCAGAGGGTGAAGAAATATAAAGGGCACAGCACTTTTGTGAACTCTGTACATGGTGAGTACAAATATTTATGGAAATTCTATTTTATATTCAAAATTAAGAAAGTTTCAGAACATGGTATTTTACTTTAAGAATTTTATATATTGAGTTCGACATCTTGTAACTTTTTTGTTTTTGGGGTGATTTTATTTTTGTATGTGTCAAATCAAAGCTTGATTTATCTAGTTTTAAGGCGTGTAATATTTTTGATAGAATTTTAGTCAACAATATCATTATAAATTTATTTTCTTCAAACATTTTTTTGTTAAAGGGGCAAGACGTGGGCCGCAATTGATGGTCTCAGGGGGGGATGACAGTACAATTCGGCTATGGGACACGAGAAAAAAACAATGCACTTCGACTCTAATCACAGACTACCAAGTTACAGCTGTTTCCTTCAATGATACAGCAGAACAAATATTTAGTGGTGGAATCGATAATGACATTAGAGTGTGGGATACAAGAAAGAACGAATATTTGTACTCCCTTAAAGGCCACACAGACACAATAACAAGTCTTGCTTTATCGGCTGATGGTTCATATTTGTTAAGTAACTCGATGGATAACTCGTTGAGAATATGGGACATACGCCCGTTTGCGCCGCAAGAGCGTTGCGTAAAAATGTTCAGTGGTCATCAACATAATTTTGAGAAGAATTTGATTAAGTGTAATTGGTCTCCGGACGGTTCAAGAATTATTGCGGGTTCTGCGGATAGATTTGTGTATGTATGGGATACCACAACCCGTAGGATTTTATATAAACTTCCAGGACACAATGGGACCGTCAATGATGGTTGTTTTCATCCCCATGAACCCATAATTGTTTCAGGGGCCAGCGATAAGCAGTTGTATTTAGGTGAAATTGATTAATTTTGTTTACGTGAATAAATTTATATTTTAAGGACTTTTAGTTTTGTTTTTAATTTCGGGTTTAAATGTTGAGACATCCAAAAAAAAATTCGTCGAAATCGGACTATAAATGAGGAAGTTTCGAATTTAACATAATGGCGCCCAACATTTTTCTCTCGAAAAAAACGCTGTGATTTTGTTGTTTTTGGTGCGATTTTTATAATTTTTTCAGGGTGGGTCAAAAAAACCACGAGGATTTCGAATATGCCCACAGATTTTGTGTAAATATTGGGATAAAGAAGTTAATTTAAAAAGTGCTGACGTGAATAAAATTATATTTTAAGGACTTATGCGGTATTGTTTTTAATTTTGGTTTGAAGTGTTGAGACAACCAAAAAAAATCTTCGAAATCGGACTGTAAATGTGGAAGTTACGAATTTAACATAATGGCGCCCAACTTTTTTTCTCGAAAAAACGCTGTGATTTTGGTGCGATTTTTATAATTTTTTCAGGGTGGATTAAAAAAACCACGAGGATTTCGAATATGCCCACAGATTTTTTGTAAATATTGGGATAAAGAAGTTAATTTAAAAAAGTGGTTACGTGGATAAATTTATATTTTAAAGACTTATGCGGTTTTGTTTTTAATTTCGGGTTGAAATGTTGTGACATCCAAAAAAAATCGTCGAAATCAGACTATAAATGTGAAAGTTACGAATTTAACATAATGGCGCCCAACTTTTTTTTCTCGAAAAAAAAAATACGAGGATTTCGAATATGCCCACAGATTTTGTGTAAATATTGGGATATAGAAGTTAATTTTAAAAAAGTTGACTCTGGAAAACCGGTTGAGGAAAATACAATAAAAGTCTATTTTTTTTTTATAAAAAACACTATATTTTATAACATAACTATTTTAGGCATTTTCAACCATCAAATCGAAATTCTCAGTCAGTTGTTGATGCGCCATTTGGGCCAGTTGACCTATTTGTCCTTCCGGAGTACTCAAAGGTTCATTTTTGAGGATTTCAGCCGCTTTCCCCAAAGTATGCAAGGCTTCCTTCATTTGTTTTTCGAGGGCCTCTTTGTTTATCAAGTCGCTTTGGTACTGGTGGCGGGCCAGTATCAAAATCGGGGCGTGGAGCTCATACAAAGTGATGCCTCTAATCCTGGAGAATCCGGGCTCTATTTTATCCAGAACCTCCATCAGGAGATTCGCGAGCTCGATTTTTCGCTCCAAAAGAAGATCCGGAAGATCGTCAACGGTATAACCTTCAGAGTTTCCGTACAATTGAACCAAAGAAGATCTCAGTATGGTCATATAGGCATTCTTAGGGTGCACAACAGATCTGTACTTCCTAAAATAAAATTGCACAAAACGTAGGTAGTCACAAGTTATGTGTAAATGAAATTAATTGTTTACCTGAATAGAGCCTCTCTAGCCTCTATACCCTCAGCCCCAAATAAACCTTCCACCCCGTCTATATCTGCCTGAATTGCCGCAAATACTTTTCTGACAGCCACCCCGTTTGTTTTGAACTCACAATGCGTACACTTCCATTCACAAGTGTTGTCTACAATAACAAAAATGTATAATGGGTTGCATACCAAGCGTTCTTGCCAACCCAGAGACAAAGAAGGTCTTACCTAAGGGATTTGTGGACATTATAACGCCGTTGTCGCACTTTTGGCACTTCAGTGTGCCCATATGGGTGCCCAATTCGGTTTTATCGGAGCATCTGGGACAAGTGCAGTCGAAAAATTTACTTTCCCTTAAATACTCGCGCCTAACTATTGTGGGCCATAGAGAATAGGTGTAGCTGCTGTATAATTCTTCTCCTTTTTTTACGTCTGTTGCTGATCTTACGAAAACTCTGTAACAAGAAGGTATAAACATGGTATGCATGGTTTTGTCTTTAGGCGCAAGGGGGGAGCAGTGCCGGTTTAAGTTAGTTCGCCGCCCGGTTCTGGCAAAAACACAACGCCCAATGCTTTAAAATATTACTTTTTTAAAAACATTTTTAAATTTTTAAGTCTTACTTTCTAACGTCAAGTGGAAGATTAGGTTGGTTAGGCTGGTATCTAACAGTAAACTTAGTATCCTATAAAATATAAAATGTGCCTTTATAAAAAAATTATAAAAATTAATCAAAAGCACTAACTAAAAAATAAAACATTCTTTGGTTTATATAAACAATACTAAGTACTAAGAAAAACTTATCAAAAGTTATAAATAAATAAAACATTATTCTTTGGTTTAAATAAATATTGAGAAATCCTAATACTAATAATTAAAACGTTGTTTTCAAGTCTTTATAGTAGCAAATTGTTTTATAACACTTTACATTTATTTCATCTAGCAGGTCTTGATAAATGGACAGAATTGCTAAGGAGTTCAATCTTTCTTGGGGAATTGTATTTCTTAGGTAGTTCTTTACCCTTTTTAGAGCAGAAAAAGATCGTTCACCACTTGCATTTGAAACTATTATAAAAAAAAATTCGCATTAATATTCGGAAATGAAGATATTAGTTTATTTTCGTATAAAACTTATACTAATTCCAATGGAGTTTCTATTTTTATTTCCGAAAGGGAAGTTACCAGTTTCTTGAGTTGGACACATTTTTGAGGAAAAAACTCATCCAAATCCTCCACGAAGATTTATACTTTTAGATTAAACAAAAATTTAAATTTGTTTGTGCCAGATTTCTAGCTATCATATCGACAAATGATTTCATATTATAGATTGTCAATTATTAAAATAAAACATATTGTTGGCATTGTTTCTTTTTTGCTTAAACTTGCCTCTGAATTATTTTCTTCAAATTGTAATTTTCTTATGATTATCCGGTTCTGAGCATAATTTTCGTTTCCTGTTAATTTCCTCGTAATGATCAAAATGATATCACGTAAAAAATCAAAGTTCTCAACTAAAAATGACAAAAGATGAGCATTTGTGCTTAAATCCATATTTTGTTTTTGGACTGCTTTATTGGTTTCAAAAGGTCTATCCAAAAAGTTCAAATTATTCCGTTTCCAATAAATCAAGTTTTTCTGATGGAGAAGCTGCTTTAACTCTAACAACATTTTTCTCATTTGTATCCGTTGTATCCGCCGACGCAGTGTCGCAATAATTTTTTTTCTAAATTCTAACGATTAAGTATTTTTTTTTTAATTATGGGCGGTACTCGGTACCGCCCCAAAAATATTTACCGCCCGGTGCTATAGTCCCCAAAAAACCCCTGTTAAACCGGCACTGGGGGGGAGTATACCTGAAGTCTTTGCTGTCAAATTTTCCGGCACAATCTATAGCATGATGCACATTGGAAACGCAATTATGCGACATGATGGCAAGTTTGGGGTACAAACATCTAAGCATGGATCCGCTGGGTGTTCGCGATTCGAACGCGTTAATTTCCAAAATGCCGCAAACGGTGTGAATTAAATCTTCGGAAAACCGCTCTAATTTACAAGGTCCTCTGAGATAGTCGACAACGTTTGTTTGGTTGAATTGCCAGATGGGCCTTTTCTTCCTTTCTTCGTTGTGGTGTTCCATGATCTGGACCTCGGTCTTCCATCTCTCTGGGTCTTTTTCCGTCGCCAATAGAACTCTGAAGATAGAAGATTACCACCCCATCCAAATGCATCTTAATCCTTACCTTAAGGGTGTTATGCACTCGTACTGCAAGCAAATTTCGCTGGGGTCGTTGACACTTTGGAATTTTACGTTAGCGTTAGCGAACACTTGGCATTCGTTGTCTTTGTGCACCGGTAAGTTTTCGCACTCTGTAGAACACACTGGCCAGGAACATTTGGAGCATAAATTGGTGCAATCCACATGGGCACTGCAACCCAGGCACATACAGTACGTATCTAGAGCAAATAGGTGTTATGCTTATTTCTTATATTTCCCTGTACTTGAATACCTGATTTTGGGCCATAAGCAAAAGGCAACTCCTCAAAGATCAGCTGACCAGGTTTGAGATCTTCGCTTGCCACCGTATACCTTCCAACTTTATCATTTTTTTCAATGATAAACTTTTCCTAAAACCAAAAACTTAACACCAAAATAATAAATGTTATCTATGACGATTACCTTTAGATTCTCGGTCATCGTAGCACTATTTGCTGCACTTTTTCGTAGTATTATTTCACTGCGCACTGTTGTATTTAAAACTAAGAACCGCGCTGATTTGGCACGCCTAATATAATTGAATCAAAGTTCAGGAATATTCTAGTCAACTCTTGGGACAATTATTTTTAGAAAGGTCGCAAACTTTAAATACTGCTTATGCACTTCAATGAATGCTTTAGTCCATACCTTTGGATCAGTCTTTTTAAATCTAAAAATAAATTTATAGGTCTGCCTGTATAAAAATAGATGTACTATTTTTATAAAAGTGAAGTGAAGTTTTGGGGTATGCCTTTATTTTTGCTATTATATTATTATTATTAAGAAAAACAAAACTCTTTTTAAAACAGTTTTAGAAAGCTTAAAAGACAGTTTTAGTAAGTTTTAAGATATTTTAAAATAGTTTTAGAAACGTTTAAGTAGATGATTTTCTTTGAGAGCAATTTTAGAAAGTTTTGAGACATTTTATAACAGTTCTAGAAAGTTTTGAGTAATTTTAAAACAGTTTTAGAAAGTTTTAAGACATTTTAAACCAGTTTTAAAAAGTTATAAGGCATTTTAAATAGATTTACCTTAACAGCAATTTTTTGGAAAGTTTTAAGGCATTTTAAACCAGTTTTAGAAAGACATTTTATAACATTTTAGAAAGTTTTGAGTAATTTTAAAATAGTTTTAGAAAGTTTTAAGACATTTTAAAACAGTTTTTTAAAATTATAAGGCATTTTAAATAGATTTACCTTAACAGCAATTTTAGAAAGTTTTAAGACATTTAAACCGGTTTTAGAAAGTTTTAAGACATTTTATAACAGTTTTAGAAAGTTTTGAGTATTTTTAAAACAGTTTTGGTAAGTTTTAATATAGGTATTTCAAAACAGTTTTAAAAATATATGACATTTCAAAACAGTTTTATTAAGTTTTAAGATATGACATTTTAAAACAGTTTTAGTAGGTTTTAAGATATTTATAATAGTTTTATAAACGTTTAAGTAGATATATCTATAGATTTACTTTGAGAGCAATTTTAGAAAGTTTTTTATAAATTTTAAAACAGTTTTAAAGACATTTAAACCAATTTTAGAAAGTTTTAAGACATTTTATAACGGTTTTAGAAAGTTTTGAGTAATTTTAAAACAGTTTTATTAAGTATTAAAATATCCCTTTTAGAAAGTTATGACATTTTAAACCAGTTTTATAAAGTTAGATTTACTTTAAGAATATACGTGTATGGAAAGCTTTATGCAAGTGAGTGTTGCCGACCATGGGTAGATGGAGAGCTTTAGTGTCGCCAACGTAGAAGGGGATGCCAACGTTAAAGCGCGAAAAGCAACTGTCGGCTGTTGACAGCTGTCAGGTTTTCAAAATTTTTTTGACAAATGGGTCCCATCATGGCTTCCAAGCAAGAAATAGAAGTTTTGGAAAATTGGGAGGAAATTGACGAGACTGATGTACGATTTTTTTCGAAAAAAATACTATAATTTAGACAGTGTAGTGTTTATGATTGAGTGAAATTTCACATTTATTTTTAGCGTGCATGCGATTGAAAAGGTTATAAATACTAAGAATGTCCTATTTTTTAGGTATTAGAAAAAAAATTTACAAAACTCATAGCACCAAGTAAATCCTTAGATTGTAAAAGGTATTTATCAACAATTATTGTTTGATAGGTCATTTAAAAATATCTGGAAAGTCTATTTTAAGTTCAAGTGTATTTTAAGCAAATTCCTTCAGAAAAACACTTAAATATTAATTAATATTCTCTTAAATTAACAAAACGTCTTTTTATTTGTTTTAGTAATGGAGTAGCACCAACAATGAACATTATATTAACTGGGGATGATGCCTTACGATCCCAATATGTGCCTCCAGAACCCACAGTAAAAATACTGAAAAGGCCTTCAAAAGATGCTCAAAATTACGGTGACTCTAAAGTGTACCAACCAAAAAAGACTTTACAACAACGGGAACAAGAATATGCCGAAGCAAGACTTAGGATATTAGGGGAAGCTAGCCCTGAAAAAGTCGAAGAAAAGTAAGTAGACTTTTTAAACTGGGACTATTATGTGGTAATTCCAGACAGATCAGGCAATTTTAAAAGTAGTGTTAAAAAGTTTTAAAATATATTTACTTTGCATTTTTAGAACAATTTTAGAAAGTTTTAAGGCATTTTAATACATATTTGAATTTTTTAAAGACATTCTAAAACCCTTTTAGTAATTATAAGGCATTTAAAACAGTTTTAGAAAGTTTTAAGGCATTTTAAAACATATTTTAATTTTTTAAGACATTCCAAAACAGATTTTGTTTGGGAGCAATTTTAGAAAGTTTGAGATACTTTAGAACAATTTTAGAAAGTTTCACTATAGTTTTAAAAAGTATTAAGACATTTTAAGGCATTCTGAGATACTTTTAGACAGTTTTAAAAATTTTTAAGGCATTTAAAACAGTTTTAGAAAGTTTAAAGACATTTTTAAACAGTTTCAGAAACTTTCAAGACATTTTAAAACTTTTTACTTAGAACGCAATTTTAGAAAGTTTTGAGATACTTTTAGAAAATTTTTTAAAAGTTTTAACACATTTTAAAACAGTTTTATAAACAGATCTACTTTGGGAGTTTTAATAAAGTTTTAGAATAATTTTAAAAAGTTTTAAGGCATATTAAAAAAGATATAATTTTTTAAAGATATTCTAAAACAGATTTTGTTTGGGAGCAATTTTAGAAAGTTCTGAGATACTTTTAGAATAATTTTAAAAGGTTGTGAGACATTTTAAAATTGTTTTAGTAATTTTAAGACATTTTAAAACAGTTTAGAAAGTTTTAAGACTTTTTAGAGAGATTTACTTTGGGAGGAATTTTAAAAAGTTTTAACAAAGTTTTAAGATACTTTTAGAACAATTTTAAAAAGTTTAAAGGCATTTTAATGTTTTTTAGGTTCAGGAGCAATTTTAGAAAGTTTTGAGATACTTCTAGAACAATTTTAGAGTTTCAATATATTTATGGAACAATTTTAAAAAGTATTAAGACATTTTAAGGCATTCTAAAACTACTTTGGGATAAATTTTAGAAAGTTTTGAGATACTTTTAAAATTTTTTAAGGCATTTAAAAACAGTTTTAGAAAGTTTAAAGGCATTTTAAAACAGGTTTAGAAACTTTTTAGACATTTTAAAACAGTTTAAGAAACATTTTACTTAGAAAGAAACTTTAGAAAGTGTTGAGATACTTTTATACAGTTTTAAAAAGTCTTAAGGCATTTAAAAACTTTTAATACAGTTTAAGAAACTTTTTACTTAGAAAGCAATTTTAGAAAGTTTTGAGATACTTTTAGAACAATTTTTTAAAGTTTTTAGACATTTTAAAACATTTTTATAAACAGACCTACTTTGGGAGTTTTAATAAGGTTTAAAGATACTTTTAGAACAATTTTAAAAAGTTTTAAGGCATATTAAAAGAGATTCTGAAACAGAGAAGAATTTTGTTTTATTATATTTTATTGTTGCAGAATTAGTATACAAAACAAACCTCGACCAGTGGAATCAGAAAATGTGATACGACTGCCGAAAGGGCCTGACGGCACGAACGGCTTCAACATTCGGAGATAGTATAACGTCATACTTATGATAGAATTAATTTAAGCGAAAACTTTATTTTGTTAACATATCATGACGCGTTTTCATCGATAGAAATTCACACACACACACAACAATATTCACAGCATCTTTAACCTGATCTCTGATGAACATTGATTTTATTTTTTATACACTAAATAAAAGTCAGCTGTTTGTGCGCTTTTCAACAAAGTTGTATTATAAAATCGAAGAATTATTTTTACAAGGTGGCTTATTATTTATTATCATTGATTTTCTATCCATGACGTGAGGAATTAGTTAAAAAGAGATGGAAGGTACCCAAAAACTGCAAGTCTGAATTATTTTTTTTTATCATTTATAAGTTTGGAAATATTTTGTTAAAAAATAAACGGGTTTTTTCATTGCACTTTGAAATATTTTAACTTGCAGTTTTTGGAATAAAAAAATCTATCAAATTATGTAAAGACTAGACCAATGTTGACACACTAATGGCATAGGTTATAAATTAATTGTGTCAGTAAAAATTAGTCTGGTTTTTATAAACATTGAATAGTTTTTAATATTTGCCAATTTTATTCTGATTTTATTCTTATCAATCATTGTGAAATTTGATTATTAAACCAAGGTACCTAGTGAAATAGGTGGTCTTGTAGTAAGCCCAGTGAAAACAGCACATTTAGGCATCTAAAGATTATTCATTTTAGCAATTCCCTAGAACTCAATAATGTTTGTTTATTCTAGAAAATTGGTAAAATACTATAACAAAAAATAATATTTATTTAAAAGTGCTGTAGACTTGAAAACCAATGTGATATATAGAGTAAATTGTCAACAATGTTTAAGGGGTATTTTAGTGTAAAAACAATAAATATTTTTTTCACTAAAATACCCCCCACAGCAAAACTTAATTTTATTATTTATGTGTATCTTCCCAATTTGTAACTTATATCTAGTGCGTAAGTCCTTATTTTATTTGTACATAAGTAGACTAGTAATATTAGCCCTAAAGAAACAAAAATCATGTAAGTAAATTTTTTCCAGTCTGTTACATTTTCTTTTTTGTTTGTTGTTGTGCAATTTAATAATAATTAATATAGGAAGTATTTTCTACTGCTTGAGTTTTACTGCCAACTGTTGAAAAATATAAAAAATGAGATGAAAAATAAATATTACGGAATAAATTAGCGCTTGTTCAGTGAGGAATTTTATTGCTTTGTGATTTTACAAGTCTTGATTGTGTTTTTCTGCAAAATGGAGTGCTTGGGTTCAGTGAGGAGTAAGTACAATTTTTTAAATATATTTAAGGTAAATAGAAATTGTTTACAACGAAAAACCACGTGAATACTCTAAAAATAGTAACGTAATTGAATAATTAATTCCAGTAAATATGTTTACTATTAATAATTAAAATTAATGTAATTTATTTTTTACTTTGAAGGTTCTTAGCCTGGTAATTTTTTGTTTACTTTGCCGCTATTTTAATAAGCAGTTTTTTACGAAACAATTTAAAAAAGTTTTAATGCATTTTAAAATAGTTTAAGACAGATTTTGTTTGGGAGCAAGTTTTGAAATACATTTAGAACTATTTAAGGATATTTTATAACAGTTTTAGAAAGTTTTTAAGACATTTTAGAAGAGTTTAAAAAGTTTTAAGACATTTTAAAACAGTTTATCAAGTTTTAAAAAGATTTTGTTTGGGAGCAATTTTAGAAAGTTTTAACAAGGTTTTGAGATACTTTTTGAACAATTTTAAAAAGTTTTGAGACGTTTTAAAGCAATTTTAAAAAGTTTTAATTCATTAAAAAAATCTTTGAGAGCAAGTTTAGAAGCTTTTCAGGACATTTTAAAACAAAACTGTTTTGAGGGCGATTTTAGAAAGTTTTGAGATACTTAAAAACAGTTTTAGAAATTTTTAAGACATTTTAAAAAGTTTTAAGACATTTTAAAACAAATTTACTTTAAGGGCATTTTTAGAAAGTTTTAAGGCAAGATTTTGTTTGGACTAAATTTTAAAAAGTTAGAAGAAATTTTAAAAAAGTTTTAAGACGTTTTTAAACAATTTTAAAAAGTTTTAAGACATTTAAATAAATTCTTTGAGAGCAATTTTAGAAGCTTTTGAGGACATTTTAACAATTTTAGAAAGATTTAAGGCATTATAACAATTTTAGAAAGTTATGAGACATTTTAAAACAGTTTTAGAAAGTTTTGAGGCGTTTTAAAACAATTTTAAAAAGTTTTAAGACATTTAAAAAAATCTTTGAGAGCAATTTTTGAGGTACTTTTAAACATTTTAGGTACTTTCACAACAATTTTAGAAAGTTTTAAAACAGTGTAAGACCTTTTTAAAACAGATTTAATTTAAAAGCTTTACAAAGTTTTGATGTTTTTTTAGAACAATTTTAGAAAGTTTTAATACATTTTAAAACAGTTTAATAAAGTTTAAAGACATTTTAAAACAAACAAAACAAATCAATGTTATCTTATGGTCAAAAATAGGGCATCATATAAATTTTAAAAAATTTTGTCACTGCCTATGTTTTCCACTATTTTTTTAATTTATGCATCTAAGGGCAGTTTTAAAATAAATGACACAACCTCTGTGGCTTGATTCTCTCCTGATACTTAGAACCGTTCAAAACTTATCTTCATTATTTATAAATGTGGTCAAAAAATTCTAAAAAACAAGAAATTCTAGATTTCAGAATCAAAAATTAATAGTAACGACCTTGCCGGTTTGTATAACACAATTTTTAACAATTATATCCAATCAAGGTCTACTTTGTTATTTTTCAGTTCACAGCCAATTTGATACACTATTGCAGATTGTAGTTAGTTAAGTAAATTTTAAGATGTCGTTTTCGTTTAAATGTAAGTAAAAAATCCTTTGATTAAATGTAATGATTACAACAAATATTGTTGCGTTTATAATTGGTGCAAACAACGCAACAAGGGAGGTGAGAATTGTTTGCAGGAAAGATATACCTACGTAATGTTTTATGAATAGGCTTTCGGTCAGCATTTGATGCGCAATACTCGAAAAGTTAACACCGGCTTAATATACATATGGCTATTCTAGTACTGTAGTGTGATACACCGCGCGGTTAAGTTTTTATTTATTTAACAGTGATTTTTGGATTACCTTTTTTTTCAAAATGTCTTGGTGGACCTCTTTAACCAGTAAGTCAAATAAATCGTTGAAATATTGCGTAATTTTTTTTAAAATGTTGATTTTTTTATCCCATTCGTGCCTCAATAATTACCAACACTTTTAGAAGTGACAAAATTTTTATAGTTATTTAATAAGTAAGTTAAGATGATGTCATCCTTAATAAAACATAACTTCCTTGAATTTAACAAAAACAACCTTTTTATCTTTGATTTAAAAATAAATTTACATAATCTAACCACAGTTCTAGAACCATTATATTTACTTAAGTAGGCATACAAAACTAATTAAATTTAGTTTTTGCGATTCTATAAAATACTGTTTACATGTAAAATAGTTTATTTATAACATATGATTAAAGTGAATAAAATGCTTAATATTCTATTTTTATAGTTCAATGTTGAGTAAAACTTAGTTTTACGCGTCAATTTTCTATTTTTGGAATTTTCGAAATCAAATCATAATTATAAATATAATTTAAGTATATATTTTTCGACGTCAAGTTTATTAATTAAAAAAAACTTAAATAAAACGTATACGATGACATCATAATATGGTGACCCATGGTGGAGGTGTTTTCAAGGTCCCATATTTTAACTGTTTTTATTAAACAATTTCGTTAGGATGGTATATTTTATAGGGCATACGAATAGCTAATTGCATTTGTATAAAGCAAAGTGTAAACAAATACCTATTACTATTTATGTTTTATTCATTATCATATTGACCCAAACGATAATTTAAATTAAGTAGTAAATAATATAAATATTTTGTTGTCTTTTTCCCACTTTAACTTACCTCAAAACAAAAGACAAAATAGCAAAGGTATTAAATCACTTTTAATTATTTCTATTACCAAACCAAGGTTGGAAAAGATTTGCAGGGCTCATAGTAAATTCCACCTCCCATATAACAATATACTTTTTAAAATTTTATTTGGACGAGGGTAATTAACCAACATACCAAAACCGTGCCAAATACTTGACATATTTAACAAATTAACGAGTCGTTTACTTTTTGGCCCAGATTCATTCAGAACAATTGCTAAATGTCCCCAATAAAATTAAATAATTTTCAGCCAGCTTCAGGAATTTTGGCAACAGAGTGGGAGCCCTATTCGAACGAAAAAAACGCGACGCATCCGACGAGGCCGAAGCTGTGGGCAGCAAAGTTGAGGATGTAGCTGAAGAAGCCGTACAAAAAACTGGTGAAATTATTAACCAAACCAAACAAAATATAGGTAAGTCTCACAGAAAAACAACTCTCGAAAAAAAAATACAAATTGACCGTTTGCAGCTCATGACGCACAAAAAGCAGGTCAAACAATCGACAACAAGCTTCACGAAGCTGGTCAAAACATCAACGCAACGGCCAAGAATGTCAATCAAGCTGCTGAAGCGAAAAAAAAGGAGTTGGAGAAAGGCGCGCAAGATTTGGGGAGATCGATCGACAACAAACTCAAAGAAACCGGCGAAGCTATCGATAGAACCGCCCAGAACGCAGCTGACGCGGCTGCGGCAAAGTTGAAGGAAACGGCCGATGCTGCTGAAGCTAAGAGGAGAGAAGCTGCGCAGGGTGTGCACAACTTTGGGGCCGCCATCAACGACAAGACCCGCGAAGCTGCCGAAGCGGCCGAAGCTCAGAGACAAGCCGCGGCCAAGGGATTGCACGATTTCGGTCAGAACTTGAACAAGAGCATCCACGATGCCGGTGAAGCTATCGACAACAAAGCCAGGGAAGCTGCTAATGCAGCCGAAGCTAAAAGACAAGCCGCAGCTGAAGGATTACACAATTTCGGACAAAATGTCAACCAAGGGCTTCATACGGTCGGCGATAAGGCTAGCGAAGCTGCCAAAGCTGTCGAAGCTCAAAGGCAAGCCGCAGCTCAAGGATTATCAAACTTTGGACAAAACGTCAACCAAGGCTTGTACAACGCCAAAGAGAACATCAACCAAGGTCTTCACAGTGCCGGCGAAGCTATGAGCGACAAGGCCCGTGAAGCTGCCAACGCCGCTGAAGCTCAGAAGCAAGCAGCTGCTCAAGGTTTACATAACTTCGGCCAAAGTGTTAACCAAGGTCTGCACAATGCTGGCGACGATATTAGCGATAAGGCACGTGAAGCTGCCGATGCAGCTGAAGCTAAAAGACAAGCCGCAGCTCAAGGTTTGTCAAACTTCGGTCAAAATGTCAACCAAGGTCTCCACAATGCCGGCGACGCTTTGAGCGAGAAAGCCAGTGAAGCTGCCAAGGCAGCTGAAGCTAAAAGGCAAGCTGCGGCGGAGGGATTACACAACTTTGGTCAAGGTATTCACAACGTCGGTGAGGCTATGAGCGAGAAGGCGCGTGAAGCTGCGGACGCAGCTGAAGCTAAAAGACAGGCTGCAGCTGAGGGTTTGTCAAACTTTGGACAAAATATCAACCAAGGATTATATAACGCTAGAGAAAACCTTAGCGAGAAAGCCAGTGAAGCTGCGAAGGCTGCTGAAGCTAAAAGGCAAGCTGCGGCCGAAGGATTGCACAACCTTGGACAGAATGTAAGTCAAGGTTTAAGCAATGCCAAGGAAAATATCAACCAGGGACTATATAATGCTAAAGAAAACCTTAGCGAGAAAGCCAGTGAAGCTGCGAAGGCTGCTGAAGCTAAAAGAATCGCAGCTGCAGAGGGCTTACATAACTTTGGACAAAATGTTAGCCAAGGATTAAACAACGCCAAGGAAAACGTCAATCAAGGTCTCCACAGTGCCGGGGAAGCTTTGAGTGAGAAAGCCAGTGAAGCTGCAAAGGCTGCTGAAGCTAAAAGGCAAGCTGCGGCTGAAGGGCTACATAACTTTGGACAAAACGTCAACCAAGGTCTCCACAGTGCCGGGGAAGCTTTGAGTGAGAAAGCCAGTGAAGCTGCAAAGGCTGCTGAAGCTCAAAGACAAGCTGCCGCCCAGGGATTGCAGAACATTGGTCAATCTATCAACCAGAAGGCGCAGGAAACCAGCCAAGCAGTCGAAAGTAAGTTTATAATATAAAATTAACTGTTTAAAAGACCTCAAAACTAATAAATGTAATTTTTTCATAAAGGCGGTAAAGCGGCGAATACCGGTGAGTTTTAAAAGCTGTGTTGTCCGCCAAAACTGTATTTAAACGCTTAAAAACCTAGCTGTAGCATATTAATGCTTGAAAAACCCAAAATCACAATTCTAAAAACTTTTTTGTAGGTAAACTCCAGGACACTGGAAGCTACATTACGAAAAAATCCAGCGAACTAAATCATGGCTTGTTGGAGGCCGAAAAGGCGGCAGAAGAAAAAATCAGGGGGACCAGTCAGTCAATAGGGAGTGCAATCGATAGTGGTCTTCATGAAGCCGGCGATTTTTTGTCGGGGGCTACAAATAGCCTTTTAAAAGGTCTTGATAACACCAACAAAAAGGCTCATGAAGAAATTGACGAGTCTAGCCAGGTTGCAGCTAACCTATTTTCCAAGGGTTTAATGCACAAATAAAGGTTTATATGTGGTGTGCTTTTGACTAATTAATACGCTATTAACGGCAAGTATTTTATCACGTCACGTAAAAATATTTGAATGTGGCAATATTTATAAATACTAAAAACTATTTTATATCCTGTTGTTTTGTAAATAAAGCTTATTGTAGTTATTTTGTAAATTTTATACAAAACACAATTAGAGTTGTGAATAAAGGCTTTAAATAAAAATCTTATTATTACAAAAAACTTTCATTTACCTTAAACCTAATAAAAAATTTAGTACGTTTTTTTCAAATTTTATCTTTGGCTGGTGTCGCGTGGCCTGTATACAATCCCTCGGCTTTTCATTTCCCTAATTATCCCATTGGGAAGCCTTCCTGATACAGATATAGCATAAACACCTTTACAGAAACGATCTATAAAAAAATCTTGTTAAAATTATACACAAGAAGATTTACTTAACATACTTATTCTTTGCCATTTTGCCACCCAACTTTCCTCAGGACTGGTCAGAGAAATCATTCTAAACAAAAAAATACCATTAGGAACCAATTAACAAAAAAACTAACCTAAATCTTTACCCATCAAAATTTGAGCTCGTACAATCATAAACATTATCCCTGTTGTTCTTCATGCGCAAAAATCCGTCACAATTATCGCATCCTTCGTATTCAAATTGATCAAAACTCTAAAAAATATAACAAAATTAAACTTTTTTTTAAATTTGTATTACCTACATACCTTTATTATGGAGCAAACTAGACAAGCCCTTAGGCCTCTTAGGTCCTTTGGAATCGATTCTAAACTCATTTTTATAATATTGGCAGTCCAATAGGATTTTTTCAAAATAAAATAACCTCAAACGTCAAACGTTCACTAAAAGTATTGCCAACACAACGTTTTTTAATATCATACAACCAAAGCAGTGTTGCAGGTGTTGAATGTGAAATTATCGCACCCACCATAGAATTAATACATTATTTCTATGGCATCAACGATCCAAAATTAACGTTTTTGAACGTATGTAGCACAGATTACACAGATTAAAAGGGTTGATACAAAGACATTTCTATAGTATACTTTGGTTGGTGTTCTTTGTTGTTGATTTTTCTTTATGTTGGTAACGTTTGTTTTCGAAACAAAATATCCGTTAATTGTTTGAATTCATAAAATGTCTGTGCAGAATGGATTGAAAAACTTATAATCTGTGTTTACGACTATTATACAGTTTTCTATAAGTTTATATAAGAATTTTACAATAAGACTAATATTTATTACATACAACAATGGCGAGTAATTGTGAACTCACAGGTAAAAAGTGTTATCCATTATAACCTTCAAATTTAAAGAATATCTTGTGTATTATAGATGATGACTCCGTTATTTCGGAATCCTGCGAAAATACTGCGGAACCAGAAGGTGCGTGATACATTTCGTTGGTCTTTTTTATTGTTCTTTTCCTAAAACAGTTGCAGGTTTTTTAGAACCTAGTTTTTTTAGGTTTTTCATATAAGAAGGAATGTTTTGTAACAAAACTAAAAAACAAAACAAACAAACAAAACAAAACTTTTGTTTATTTGTTTAAAATAAAATGTATTGTGATAATGTTGGTTCATAGAATAACCAGGGGTTCCCCAAGGTCTCAACCAGGGACCAATGTTGTTCAATGTATTCATAAATGACTCAGTTAATACTTGGGATATAACTGCTATGTTTAAGACAGTTTTATCGAGTTAAACTGATTGTCTTTTGAATATTTACAATAATATACAATTTTGGTTCCAGCAATAGATATATTTTATTTATTATTCTAGTTATTGATGAATCTTGCTATGAATCATCGTCATCAAGTAAAAGTGCTATTTTAACAAAAAAACAGAGTGTACCAATGTTGTCAGATGATGATGATGATGATCAATATGTTGCAAAACCAAAAAGTAAAAAGAAAAACGTTATTATATCTGATTCGGAAGATGAAATGGAGGAAATAGAGAAAATGCAAAAGTCCAATCCAGAATCTGATTCTGATGAGGAGAAACTAGAAATAGATTATGATTCTGAGTCAAGTGAGAGCCTGCATTCTATAAATTTTGATGATGAACCTTTACCAGAAAATATAAAGGGAAATAGTGCTTCTGGTAGGATTTCTAGTGTGCACAATTTTGGTAACAAAGGGAGTATTATGAACAGCACATTAATAGGTAAAAAACTCAGGTAAAAAAAAAAAATTAGGAAGAAGAAATAATTTTTTATAGGAGGAGATGCAAAGAGCCCAAGAAAACTTAATCCTTTAAATGAAGAAAGCACATTTGCATTGTCCAGTACTAACAATACAATAAATATACATAATGTTGTGCCAAGTCCTAGAAAGTCCACTCCAAGGGGTTCAAGGGCACAAACTTCCAACATAAAATTAAAAGTAATTAATTTTTTAAAGTGCTTATTATTTGATAATATTTTTTTCAAAATTAGGAGTCGATGATGACACCTAGAGCAGTAAAACATGATGTATCTTCAAGAAGCCCAAGTCCTTCCTTGGACAATGATGATATAGTTGATATAAGCAGTGATGAAGATGTGCCTATAACCCCGAAACCTCAACCTAATCTAAATAGAATCACAATGAAACAAACAACATTGGATTCAATGGTTTCTGTGAAATCAGAAGTTAAAGGTAAGTTGACTTTACACAGCTATAAAGTGTTTCTAATAAGTGCCTCTGAACTTCAAAAGTGCACAATATTATACGCACCAGAACTGAATATCACAAGAAAATATTGCAAGAACCAGGATTAAATTTTGCCATAGCCTTAATTGACATTCTTGAGATAGTACTATCTAGCTCCAAAATGACAATATTAAGACAGTTATGGCTAGCTTAAATTGACGTTCTTAAAACAGCTTAAATTTACATTTTTAAGACAGTTATAGCTAGCTTAAATTAACATTTTTAAGACAGTTATAGCTAGCTTTAAGTCTACATTCTTAGGACAGTTATGGCTAGCTTTATTTGACATTCTTTAGACAGTTTAGCTTGCTTTAATTGACATTCTTAAGATAGTTATAGCTAGCTTTAAGTCGACATTTTTAAGATAGTTATATCTAGCTCCAAAATGTCATTCTTAAGACAGTTATGGCTAGCTTAAATTGACGTTCTTAAAACAGTTATAGCTAGCTCCAATTCGACACTTTTAAGATAGTTATATTTAGCTCCAAATCGATAATCTTAAGGCAGTTATGGCTAGCTGAAATTGACATTATCAAGACATTTATAGCTAGCTTAATTGACATTTTTAAGACAGCTATAGCTAGCTAGAAGTCGAAATTCTTGAGATAGTTATATCTAGTTCCAAATCGGCATTCTTAAGAGTTATAGCTAGCTTTTATCCTATAAACTAGTACAATTATTAAGTATTATTACTAAAAAATAAAAAAATTAATAAATTGTTTCAAAAGTTTAAAACTGGATAACTGTTATCTAAATTAGCCCAGCAATCCGGTTTAGCTGGTCAAGTGCAATAGTCCTAGTAGTAACTTTACATACTTTTCCTTTGTTAATAGACTATTTTAAATACAGTAAGTATAAAATAAACTAGGACTGGATTTCTTGCAATGTTTTCTTGTATTATTATGTAAATGTAGACATTCTACAGAGATATTCTTCAAACAATTTTAGAAGACTTGAACACGATCTCATCGGACGGAAGCGCATATTCGTTGGACGTGACTCCAACGGAGTATATGGAGCAACGGAACAAGTTGCAAAAAATTCAATCGGAATTGCTGAAAGCCAAAAACACGTTAAGAACCATCAATTTGAACGCCCTGCCCGACAAGGGAAAGCTCCTCCAGCAGAGGTACGCCACTCTCGAGCAAATGTACGACAACGAGACGAAAAAGTTGGAAGTGATGAACATATCCAAGGGTGAGTACTTGGCGGTGTGTTTTTCCGTCGGTGTTTGAGCGTTTTGTTGCAGAGGACCCTCCAAGTCCCGACGTTTTGAAGCCGGTGGCTTGGGCCGACATACAGGCCGGCGTTTCGGCCGTTCAGCCGAAAACTTTCGGGAAAAAAGGTACCGCATCGCACTAATAACACAAAAAAACGCAAACATTAATGTTCATTGCATGCAGCAATGGCAACGTACAACGCCCAAAAGGCCCTGACGGTGGACAGACTCGCGCAGCTGCACGGCTCTTTGGAAAAGTGTCCCAAAGAGGATACTTTGGCCGAAGATCCGAAGGGCTTGAAGGTGGAGCTGATGCCGCACCAGAAGAGGGCGCTGGCGTGGATGATGTTCCGAGAGAAGCAAAAGCCCTCTGGCGGCATTCTGGCGGACGACATGGGTCTGGGGAAAACCTTGACGATGTTGTCGTTGATGCTCAAGACCTTCGAGGTGGAGAAGAGGGAGGATTCCGACGAAGACGACGAGGAGAACAGGGAAGAACGCGACATGCCGCGAAGAACGAAATTTAAAGGTGGGTGGAATGTTTTGATAGTTTTCAGGTCATGGTTATTAACAGGAGAACACAATTATTCGGACAATAATATAATTATTATATTTAGCTTCAGTTAGAACTGTTATAGCTAGCCTTGACTTTCTTGAGATAGCTATGTTTATTTCTATTGACGTTCTTAAGACAGTAATGGCTAGCTTAAATTGACATTTTTAAAATAGTTTTAGCAAGCTTAAATTTACATTCTTCGGACGGTTGTAGCTAGCTCCAATTCGACATTTTTGAAATGATTATGGCTAGCTTAATTGACATTCTTAAAAAAATTATAGCTAGTCGACATTCTTAGAAAAGTTTTTGCTAGCCTTAATTAACATTTTTAAGAAAGTTATAGCCAGCTTAAATTGATTTTCTTAAGACATTTTCCGACGGTGGACTAATGGTCAGTGCTGCTGACTACAAGCCGAGAGGTCGTGGGTTCGAGTCCCACATTGGTATGGTTGTTTGTACTATTGTTAAATAGTCCTTCGGAGGGGACTTTAGGCCCGCGGTCCGTTCTTACCCCTAACCTGCTCAAGCCATTCAGTTGGCTTTTAGGACGTAAGGGTGGAACTAAAAGGACACTTTTGTATCTACTTTTTTTGTATTTATAGCTAGTCGACATTTTTCAGATAGTTATAAGCAGCTCCAAATCGACATTCTTAAGACAGTTATGCCTAGTTTTAATTGACGATTATAGCTAGCTTAAATTGACATTCTCAAGACATGTATAGCTAGTCGACATTCTTGAGACAGTTATACCTAGCTTAAATTGACATTCTTAAGAAATTTATAGCTAGTCGACATTCTTAAAATAGTTATATCTAGTTTTAAATCTACATTCTCAATACAGTTATAGCTAGCCCAAATTTACAATCAGTTCTAGCAATTTATATTCCAAAGACAGTTATAGTTAGCTTTAATTGGCATTCTTAAGGCAGTTAAAGCTAGCTTAAAATTACATTCTTAAAACAGTTTTAGCTAGCTTTAATTGACATTCTTAAGACCGTTATATCTTACTTAAATTGACATTCTTAAGACATTTATAGCTAGTCGATATTTTTGGGATAGTTATAACTAGCTCCAAATCAACATTCTTAAACCAGTTTTCTAGATAAAACTTACATTCTAAGAACAGTTTTGGCTAGCCTTAATTGACATTCTTAAGAAAGTTATAAATGGAATTTCTTAAGACATTTATAGCTAATCGAAATTCTTAAGACAGATATGGCTAGATTAAGTGGACATTCTAAAAACAGTTATAATTGGCTTTAATTGACATTCTTAAGACAGTTATGGCTAGTTTTAATTCACATTCTAAAGACAGTTATAGCTAGTTAAAATTGACATTCTTGGAGTAGTTCTAGCTAGCTTAAAATTATATTTTTAAGAAATTTATAGCTTGTTGACATTCTTAAAATAGTTATAGCTAGTTTAAATTGACATTCTTAAGACAGTTATGGCTAGCTTCCTAACATTCTTAAAATAGATATTGCTGGCTTTTTGGTATTCTTAAGATAGTTAAAGCTATCTTGACATTCTTAAGACAGTTGTGGCTAGTGACAGTTATGGCTGGTTTCATAACATTCTTAGGATATTTATAGCTATCTTGTTGGTTTAAATTGACATTCATACAAGTTATGCCTATAGGCTATAGCTTTTTGAAATTCTTAGTTCTAGCTATCTTGTTGACATCCTTATGTCTAGTTTAAATTAACATTCTTAAGATAGTTACGGCTAGTTTAAATTGACATTCTTAAGATAGTTATTATTAGTTATATTACTAGCTTTATGACATTCCTAAGATGGTTATAGCTTTTTTGTCGACATTCTTGAGACAGTTATAGCTATTTTGTTAGCATTCTTAAGACGGTTAAAGCTAGTTTAAATTTACATTCTTAAGACTGTTATAGCTAGTTTACATTGACATTCTTAAGACCGTTATGGCTAGCTTCTTGACATTCTTAAGATAGTTAAAGCTATATTGTTGGCATTCTTAAGACAGTTATAGCTATTTTAAATTGACATTCTTAAGATAGTTATAGCTAGTTTAAATTGACATTCTTAAGACCGTTATGGCTAGCTTCTTGACATTCTTAAGATAGTTAAAGCTATATTGTTGACATTCTTAAGACAGTCATAGCTATGGACTGTTTTTTGAGATTTTTAAGATGGTTATAGCTTTTTTGTTAACATTCTTAAGACAGTTATCGCTAGCTTAAACTTACATTCTTAAGAAATTTATTGCTGGTCGACATTCTTGAGATAGTTATATCTAGCTTTAAGTTGACATTCTCAAGACAGTTATAGCTAGCCCAAATCTTAGTTTTTGCTAGCTTAAATTTATATTCTAAAGACAGTTATACTAGCTTAAAATGACATTCTTAAGACAGTTTTAGCAAGCTTAAAATGTAATTCTTAATACAGTTACAGCTAGTTTGTCGATATTCTTGAGATAGCTATAGCTAGCTAAAATTGACATTTTCAGGACAGTTATAGCTAGCTTAAGTTGACAGTTGGAATATCTTGGTTAAAATGTCAAGTTAGGCTAGCTATAACTTACATTAAACTTCGCCAGGCGGCACTTTGGTGGTGTGCCCCGCCAGCCTTCTGAACCAGTGGTCGGGCGAGCTCGAGAACCGCAGCAAGCGCGGCCTGGCCTCCTACTACGTGTACCACGGCCCTAAGCGCGAGCGCAAAGCGAAACTCCTCAGCGACTACGACCTCGTCATCACCACCTACTCGATCGTGCAGAACGAGCACGACGGGGGCACGGTGTTCCGAGTGCGCTGGCGCCGCGTGATCTTGGACGAGGCGCACCAGATCAGGAACCACAAGTCGCTCACTTCGGTGGCGGTCTGCAATCTGCCGGCAAAGTCCAGGTGGGCCTTGACCGGCACCCCCATACACAACAAGGAGCTGGACATGTTCGCCCTGCTCAAGTTTCTGAGGTGCTCGCCGTTCGACGACTTGCAGGTTTGACATTTTGATCATTTGAACTTAACGGAATCTGATTTTTGTCGATGAATAACAAAATATCATCGCCAATACTGCCACAACAAGAAAACAAGGTATATTCTTCAGTAGGACGAATTTTGGTTCACTTTGCGCACCACCCAGATTTTATCCAAATTTCCATAAAATTATTCGATTTTTAGATTAAATTGTCGAATAAGATCAAAATACCCTAAATTGGCCACCATTGAATAAAACAAACTAAACTTGTGAAAAACATTACATTATGGTATGGTACAAGCCGGTTTTCTAATGCTTTTGGGATGTTTCGATCCCGGGCCATTTCATTATAGCAGCATGCTGCAGTTTGTGAACTCTCCTTGAAGATCATCTTGGCACATTTTCTGCACAGTGCAAAAATGATTTTTTTAAATAATATTTTAATTTCTTACACTGCAGTACCTTTTGTTTGAGTTTCTGTTAAGGGTTTTTCTTCAAAGATTATATTATCCTTGGAGTTGAAACCGCATCCACTTTTAAAAAATTTTTTATGGGAATGTAGTTTGTATGTTTTTTCTGTCCAATTTTCCTTCTTATAGCAACTATCTTCGAAGTAAATGGAACAAATACAAGCTACAAAACCAACAAAAAGCAAGCTTAAATTGACATTCTTAAGACAGTAAATGCTAGCCTTAATTGACATTTTTAAACAGTTATAGCCAGCTTTAAGTCGACATTCTGAAGAAAGTCATGGCTAGCTTAAATTGACATTCTTAAAACAGTTATAGCAAGCTTAAATTGACATTCTTAAGACAGTTATAGCTAGCTTTAAGTCGATATTCTTGAGAGCCTTAATTGGCGTTTTTAAGACAGTTATAGATAGCTTTAAGTAAGTAAGGTTATATCTAGCTCTAAATCGATATTCTTACGACAGTTATGGCTAGCTTAAATTGACGTTCTCAAAACAGTTACAGCTAACCTTAATTTACATTACATTTTTAAGACAGTTATAGCTAGCTACAACTCTGCAATCTTTAGATAGTTATTTTTAGCTCCAAATTGACATCCTTTTTTGTTTTAATATTATTTGGCAATCTTCCTCCTCCTCTTCTTCACTGCTGGGTCTGACATTTCATTATCAGCAGCATGCTGCAGTTTGAGTTTGTGTTATATAACTGTCCTTGAAGATCATCTTGGCACATTTCCTGCACAGTACAAAAAGAAAGATATAATCTAGCTCTAAATCGATATTCTTACGACAGTTATGGCTAGCTTAAATTGACGTTCTCAAAACAGTTATAGCTAACCTTAATTTACATTACATTTTTAAGACAGTTATACTGCCGTGTTAAGCTTAAAGGTCGTATCTCAAATATTTTGTAGTAAAGGACAGAAGAAAATTTTAATTTTTAAAAACAATAAAGAATAAAGTTTTTTCTTTACTACCACAAACTGCCGTTCGAGGACAAAACTTCATATCTGCAATATTTAGTAGTTAAGCAAAAAAGACATTTTTTATCGTTTTTTTTTTAAATTAAAATTTTCTTCTGTCCTTTACTACAAAATATTGCAGATACGACCTTTAAGATTAACACGGCAGTATAGCCTAGCTACAATTCGGCAATCTTGAGATAGTTATTTTTAGCTCCAAATTGACATCCTTTTTTGTTTTAATATTATTTGGCAATCTTTCTCCTCCTCTTCTTCACTGCTGGGTCTGACATTTCATTATCAGCAGCATGCTGCAGTTTGAGTTTGTGTTGTGGACTGTCCTTGAAGATCATCTTGGCACATTTCCTGCACAGTGCATAAAGAAAGATTTAATTTTTATTTCAAATTTTATTAGGTTTTGTCCTATTTCTGGTACACTGTGAAAAGAACTTGTTTTTTCTTTTGATAGATTAGCTGTTAAGTGTAAAATTGGAACCGTATCCACTTTTAAAGACTTTTTATGGGAATGAATTTTGTATGTTTCTTTGATCCTTATAGGAAATATTAAAGTAAATGGAACAAATACAAGCTACAAAACAAACTATTAACCTAAATTTGTCACAGATAATCTGTGTATACAAAAGGAAAGTATCCCTAAAAAACTACTGCTATTTAATTTTAGACATTTTTACACTTACTTAAAAATAGCTTAAAAACAACTCGCATCAAAATGTAAACCTTTACTGCATTATTGGCGACGATATGAATAGTAAAAATGTACAAAAACAATTTTGCGCACGACGCCATCTATCGACAGGTTTGGAGACGTTGGGTGGGGGACAAGTCCGTGGGCGGTCTCGAGCGCTTGCACACGGTGATCTCCTCGCTGATGCTGCGCAGGACCAAGGCGGAGTTGATGGAGAAGGGCGCCCTGAACTGCATGCCGGAGCGCAAGTGGGAGCTGATCCCCGTCGAGCTGCTCAAGAACGAGCAGGAGGTGTACCACCGCGTCAACCTGTTCTCGCGCACGCTGTTCGCGCAGTTCCTGCACCAGCGCGCGCAGAAGAACCAGGACGTGTACGACGCCAACTACGCTAACGCGCCGAATGCGAGTAAGAAGTCTTGCGGCTTGCTTTCCTCGCGAACTTTCTCTCGAGACGTTTTTCTTTTCAGAGGGGCCGAACAACGAGTACTTTAAGATGCGCGACAAGCTGCTGAAGATGAACAAGATTCAGGAGGTCAGTCAGCATCATATTTTGGTGCTTTTGCTGAGGTTGAGGCAGATTTGCTGCCATCCTTCTCTTATAACAGCGGTAAGTTTTATTATTATCAAAAACTGCTCTCAAAAGAATTATTATATAGTTTTCAATTACAAGGTTTTTGAAATTTTGTTGGCGGCAGGGTAAACAAAAACGCTTAAAAAATGGTAGTACAATTTTTTTAAATTTGTTTTTCAAAATTTTTAAAACGACGGGGAAGAAATGTACTAGTTAAATTTGCTAGATTAGTTGAGCGAATTAAATCTCGACGAAGATTGCTGGGTTGTGACCCCAGACATTCTTGGAATAATTATAGCTAGCTTCATTTAACACTTTTAAGTTATAGCTGGCCTTAATTGACATTATTAAGACAGTTATAGCTAGCCTTCATTGACAGTTATAGCTAGCTTTAAGTAGCCATTCTTGAGATAGTTATTTCTAGCTCCAATTTAATATTCTTAGGGCAGTTATGGCTGACTTAATTTGACACTTTTTAGACAGATTAGCTAGCTTTAATTGGCATTCTTAAGACAGTTATAGCTAGGTCCTAGTCGATATTCTTAAGATAGTTATAGCTAGCCTTAATTGACATTCTTAAGACAGTTATAGCTAGCCTTCATTGACATTATTAAGACAGTTATTGCTAGCCTTAATTGACATTTTTAAAACAGTTATAGCTAGCTTTAAGTCGACATTCTTGAGATAGTTATATTTAGCCTCAAATCGACATTCTCAAGACACTTCTAGCTAGCTTAAATTAACATTCTTAGGACAGTCATAGCTAGCTTTAATTGACATTCTTAAGACATACCTAGCTTTAAGTCAACATTCCTGAGATAGTTATATCTAGCTCCAATTTGACATTCTTAGGACAGTTATGGCTGGCTTAATTTTACATTTTTTAGACAGTTTAGCTAGCTTTAATCGACATTTTTAAGACAGTTATAGCTAGTTCCTAGTCGATATTCTTAAGATGGTTATAGCTAGCCTTAATGGACATTTTTAAGACAGTTATAGCTAGCTCCAAATCGACATTCTTATGACAGTATAGCTAGCCTTAATTGACATTTTAAGACAGATATTGCTAGCCTGAATTGACATTTTTAAGACTTGGTTAGCTCTAAGTTGACATTCTTGAGATAGTTATGTATGTATAGCTCCAAATCGACATTTTTAGAACAATTATGGCTGGCTTTATTTGACATTCTTAAGACCGTTAAGCTAGCTTTAATTTACATGCTTAAGACAGGTATAGCTAGCCTTAATTGACATTTTTAAGACATAGTCAAAAGAGTTAACCAAAATTAGTAAAAATCGGTATTACCCTCTTAAAATGTAAAAATGGATTTATCGGTTTTTGCATGTTTGCTCCACAGTTATAGCTAGCCTTGATTAAGATTCTTAAAACAGTTATAGCTCGAATTAATTGACGCTTTTAAGACAGTTATAGCTAGATTTAAGTCGACATTCTTGAGATAGTTATATCTAGCTCCTCATCAACATTCTAGCTTAAATTGACATTCTCAAGATACTTATAGCTAACTTAAATTTATATTCTTAAGACAGTTATAGCTAGCTCCAATTCGACATTCTAAAGTCTATTCAAATCCAAGCTGGACTAAACAAAAACGCCCAGACTCGTGATAACTTGTTCTTGGTCGATTCTGATGTGTTATTATTGGTCGATTCGGAGGATTGTGTCTACATTTAGTCCAGCTTGGATTTGAATGGACTTTAGTTCCAAATTCGCAGTAGTTCAGAATTAATAATTGGCAGGACAATTTTCAAAATTTGACATTTAGTCACAAGCTAGCTAAAACTTCCTTGAGATTGTCAAGCCATATCTATAACTGTCTTGTTTATAAGCATTAAAATAATTATAAACAGATGTTGGACGAGACGGAAGAATTGGGCGACGACGGGGATGAAATGAACGATTTAAACTTGCTAGATCAGCTGAGCAAATTAAATCTCGACGAAGATGAAGACGCTTACAACCCCGACGCGACTCCTCCTGCAGGTGCTGGGGAAGAGGGGGGTCAGGACCTGAAACAAGCCACCAAAGGTTTCCTGAACCCCTCCAACCCAGTGTTTTCGCTCGAACACCAAAGCAGCAAAGTAAGACGGTAGAAAAGGGTTGCATCAACACCAAAACTAATTCGGTGATGATTTTTTCTCAGATTAAAGTCGTTTTGGACACCCTGGAAAACAAAGTGTTGGGGGCTGGGGATAAAGCGATCATCGTGTCCCAGTTCCCCTCGTTTCTGCGAATTGTGGGCAGGTTTTTGAAGGAGAGGGGCATCGAGTTCGACCAATTGGATGGCAGCATCCCCGTCAACAAAAGAATGGGGATGGTGGACAATTTCAACAACAAAAACCACAAGATGCGGGTCCTGCTGCTTTCCCTCACAGCTGGGGGAGTAGGTTTGAACCTGATTGGTGCCAATCATCTGTTTTTATTGGACTTGCACTGGAATCCGCAGCTGGAAAACCAAGCCCAGGACAGAATATACAGGGTGGGCCAAACCAAGCCGGTCTTTGTCTACAAGTAGGTTTTTAAACCTTGTTACCTTGGTTTTAAAGGTTGATTTTTAGGTTTATAGCAACGGACACAATAGAGGAGAGAATTAAACAGTTGCAGGACAAAAAATTGGACTGCGCCACCTCGATGCTGACCGGCACTAAACAGGCCGGCTCGAGCAAACTGACTTTGCAAGATATCAAAATGCTTTTCGATATGTGAATATTTTACTTTACGTGTTTTATTTTAACTTGTACAAAATGAAATATATTTTTATTAAACTTAACAACTTATTTATTTATATATGTCATCATTATTTATTTACATATGGGTATATGTACACACGTCAAAATAAAATCATTTGCGCTTGAAAAAACTGTCGATGAAACTAAAAAAGTTGCCGTTGTCTTCGTTACCGACATCATTTTTGGGTATCGGTTTTTTGTTCCCAATACTTTTTCCGTCTTTTATCGCTCGCTGAGCCTCTTTCTCCAAACAAATCTGCATCATTTGCTTGTCTAATATCGGCACTACCAGATTGAATTTCATTATTTTCCTGTTGATTTCGTCGACCATTTTTGTGTACTTGTAAACGATCTCGCTCCAAGTTATGTTGTCTTCGATGTTCAAGGGAAAGGGGCCGAAAAATTGACGTTCGTAGAACAATATTGTTCGCAAGTGATGCGCTTCGTTGCGTATTTCCTTTTGGAGGGTTATCCATTCGGGCGTGAAACCGTTTTCTATCAAAACCTAAAAAAATAACTTAAAATCAAGTCTAACCCTGACATTTGAATACAGTTTAACGCTTTCTTTATCTTATTTTCTGAAAATAAGACAAAGTTAGCATCATTTTTGAATAAATAAGTAGTTTTTTCACGACAAATTTTGTTCAACTGCACAGCTAAATCGCGCACGTTTTTTGGGTTTGGCGTTGCAAGTAAAAACTAAACTTATTTCATTGATTAAGAAACTCAACGCTTATATAGTTACGTTAGTGTGTGCATTTTATCTAAGGGATCATGGTGAATTATTGTTTTTAATTGTAAATAAAATTCAAGAACTGCATTTTCATGTTTTGCCAAAGGATCCAATTCGGTACATTTTTTGGTGTAGAATTAACTAATGATAACTTTACCTAATATAATTTATACTTAAGTTTGGATATTTTTAAGAAATTAGTAAAAAATAATGTTTGCACAAATCAACCATTTTCATATCGCAGTGACTAGAGCACGTTAGAGTGCCTGCAATTATAGTATTTTCTCAATTTAATTATAGTATTTTTTAGAAAAATTATAGTACAGATGACGTATAGGTTTTTGAGAAGCAGGAGCCCACATTTTCCCCCTTTTTTACCAATAGGCTACTAGAAGTTAGAATTTTAATAAAGACAGCTTTTTTTATTATATTATATAATATATATTATCTATTTTCAAAAAACGTTTGTTGTGACAATAACTCCAATTTCAAAGATACAACCAAAGATAATATTATCTTTGGATACAACCACTCAAAATAGCGTAGAATTTAAATATTCTCTTATTGGCGACACTGCTGTGCAATGTTGCCATCCCGTAAAAGATGAACAATACAAAAACCGTTTTGACTACAGATTTCCGTACGGGAAGGGAAACTATAAATCAGGCTGTAAACGCATCGTTTTCAATGCCACTCCCCGAACTATAAATTGTAAAAATTGGGTACCGCAGTGCTGCTAACTTTTTGATTCTTGGAGACCACTCTTGCCAACATTCGGGTTTGTTCCCCACAAGCTTTATAAAGGCATCGAAATTGGGGATTTTTTAAATAAATATTCGCTAATTATTAAGTTTTTTTACTAAATTTCTTCAAACTTGTTTAGTCCACTTTTATTTATAAAATCGCCTTTGATTTTAACTTTTAGAAAATTTAAATAGTTTTTTGTTGTTTAAAATCAATATATCAATATAATATAATATAAATTAGATGCAAAACTCTGTATTTGCAGGATAAGTGATTTTAAGAAAAACATGAAAAACCGCTAATAAGATCATTTTTGAAAAAAAAATGCAAAAATTGTATAGACGTACTATTGCATCATTTTTATTCAAAAAAGTAAAAAAAAATCCTTTAAAATTAGGTAGTTTAGTAAATAATTGAAATCAAAAGATTTAAAAACAGTTTTGCATCTTCCTCGTTCAAAGACCAAGTTTTGCAATTAAAAAGTGCAAATACCAACAAAATAACAATTAATCAGGTAATTGTTATGTCGTCACGACCTGTGTAAACTAGCGACATGATTGGTCAATAGCAAATACCGAGTTTTGCATCTAACAAATACCCAGTTTTACATCTACGTAAGTTTTTAAATGTATTTTATTCTAAAAATATTAACTTATGCATTTGGTTTACTTAGGTATACTGTAGGCAGTGCAGTAATGTACATAAATATGATAAAATATATATTTTTTAAAAATGTGCAAAAACCGAGTTTTGTATCTAATGTACTCATATATACACTCACATGCAAAATAATCGATCCACACAAATTTTCGATCAATTTCAATCAATTAAACGAATATTAAAGAATATTGTAGATAAATTAATGGACAATCGCTCACATTTTAAAAAATTACTAAAAAATAGACGTACGTTTATAATATACAGGTTTAAACAATAAGATGTTTTAAGACACTCTGTAGAGTGGCAAAACCGTATATCGTAAATTAAGTTTTAATTATCAAGTCACATCTATTTTTAACAGTTTTGTTTTTGGTTCACCTTTTGTGGAAAATTTGGATATGGAAATGTGAGCGATTGTCCATTAATTAATCTACATTATTCTTTAATATTCGTTTAAATCCGACATCAAATAAAAAAGTTATTTGCGATTGAAATTCATCGAAAATTTATGTGGATCGATTATTTTGCATGTGAGTGTAATTCATTGATTTTAAATTGAAATGAAACTTCTTTTTTAAAGATCAGTTCGTTTTTCTAAGGGGTCGTAGGTCAAAATTTTGTTTGGATTTTTGTAATTTTTAGTTTAATATCTATAATTTTTGTGTTAAATATTTTCAAAAAAAATATCAGCCGATAAGGATAAAACAGTTTCTTATTTAAGATTTTATTTTCAAAACGTCTTTAGAAAATAAAACAATTTTTAAACCCTAATTACTCAAAATGGTGCGGAAACTATAATCGAAATTACATTATTTGATTATTAATCAAATAATAAATAACAAATAAATATTTAAGAAATTCGTCACCCTTAACGTAATATGTTTATCGCGCAGGTCTGACTCACCCATTTTTTTGGTTGTTTTTGTTAATAAGAAATAATTATAATCCCTACAACGTAATCAAGCGTTCAGTTGTAATTTGGCTTCGATGGGACAAACATGCTCATTTATTAGGTACTTTTATCTACATCAACAAATTGCTAGGTATTATTAGAATTCTAACACATCTATTATGTCAAATAATACTACGAATATTTTTGATATTTAAAAAAATAAAAAACATAAAAGTTGCAGTCCTTAAATGGTCTAATTGTATTTTTTTTCTAGGACCAACATGTTAAAGCCATAGCTATTAAGCCAAAGGATATTAAGAAATAAGACAACAATATATATAAGGATAATGAGATTTAACCAGAACTCATCAATAAATTTGGCAAGTACCAATTTATTATTTTTAAATTTTTTGACTAAAATAAAAGTAGGTACCTATTTATTCGCTAATTTTTAAGTTTTTTTAACTAAATTTCTTCAAACTTGCTTAGTCTACTTTTATTTATAAAAATTTTAGAAAATTTAAATAGTTTTTTTTTGTTTGCGACTCACCCCTTCATGTAAAATCTTTATTTATTGTGCGATTTTAACCGGATCTTGATAAACTGTATTTTTGAAGCAAAAGACGCCATATTAGTACAAAATGCAAGGCCTACTATGTCAGTTTTTTAGAGTAAATTTTTAAGGATTCATATTAACCAATTTTTTAACAAAATCTAAGCAAGTAATAGTACCATGTTATTAGTTTAATTTTATTTCAATGTTTTTTCATGGATAACTTGACAGAATAAAATTTTGTAGTTATTATTGTGCATTTTTCTACTTAAAATTTTTCAATAAAATTTAATATAAGGTCGTTTTGAGGGGTAGTGAATCCAGTGCCAAACTTGGATTTTGTTTAAAAAAATCGCCAATATGAATTCTTAAAAAATTACCCTTATAAAATCTGACATGGTAGGCCTTGTATTTTGTACAAATATGGCGTTTTTTGCTCCAAAAATACAGTTTATTAAGATCTACACTTTAAAACAAATCCGGTTAAAATCGCACAATAAATAAAGATTTTACAGGGTTGAGTCGCAAACAAATGGGTCACACTGTGTATATCTATAATTTTTGTGTTAAATACATATACCTATACATGGGCGCCGGAAGGAATTCGTCTAGGGGGGGGCCTTAAAGTTTTTTACAATTTTGATAGATGTTATTTATAATCAAGTTGTACTGTAGAAGTTTACATTAAACTTAAGTCAAATAAAATATCATCTTTTTATGTGGAGTAGCCTGGCTAGACTTCGCCTTTTAATTATTGTATTTTGTATACGTAATTAATAAAGACATTATTATTATTATTATTATTATTATTTACCTATTTATTTATATTGGTACATATTGCAAAAAATACATCACAGTTTTTTGGTAAATATATAAATATAAAAAAATTGTATCGCCGAGGAATCTCCTCTAGTAGTACAGCCGTCTTATGTATACGCTATACAAATTATGATAAATTAAAATATAACAAAAAAATTAAATACAAACATGAGTAATATTTTAAAAATAAGTTATAACAATAACAAAAACTTAAAAAAATGTGGTTGCACCACAGCAAACGGAAAATTATAGAAGTGTATAGGATGACTCCGCGTTTGAATATCAAATCTTAAAGTTTTATCATAACTGTATTGAATCGTGCTTTGTTTTTATATTTTTCGGCTCTATACCTATGCACGACTATATTTAAAGTCAAACTCAATGGTGTCTTACAAGATACATTATTTTGATTTTCTATATTCAACAGAGGAATAGAAACTCGACCCTGTCGAATGGTGCAGTCATTTATGTCTCTAGAAATTATTAAAAAAGGGTTCAGTCCAATGGTGCAGCAACTTCGGATTCCTATTCTCCTCAGAGACATAGAAACTCAAGCTTTTCGAATTTTACTGGCAA